TTCTGGATAGCTTATTACACTAAGTAAAAATTGTTTTAACCTTTTTACAGCAGGATTCTCGCAGAAGTGAGCGGGAGGCCGCTCTTGATAATCCAGTCGAGCCAGCCGAAAACGTTGATTGACTGACGGACGTAGCTTAGAAGCGAGCCAGTCTCAGCGGTAGGTGTAGACAGCATAACGGCCTCGTAGTCTGGGTGCTCCCGACGGACGTGGTGCATGAGGTTAGAGTAGCCGTTCTGCCGGGTCTGCTTTCGAACCCTACCGCAGCGACAGCGGAAGAACTCAGAGACGATCTCGTCATTAGCGTTTAGGCACGGTCGGAAGTAGAGCCCGGTAGCCTTGGCTGGTGTGAAGGTGGCGTGGCGGGGCGCGGGGCAAGAACCATGGTAGGTTAGCGAAGAGAGAGTGTTTTTTGTTACTCAAATTGAAAAGTGAGGAAACCAGCAAGCTGTGTTGCGTGGCTGGCTTTGAGAGTTGCTGGTAGTAGCGTATTTTAAGTCATGGATGGCTGCGAGAGATACATAATGATAAAGAGGTTTACTTCAAAAATTATGGCAGATGACGCTTTAATCAATAAATTATCAAAAACATACAGGTAATATATAAGTATACATATATATTTATGATCTCATAATAAATAATTGAAAAGACCATGCCATAATCGGGAGCAGGGTATCGCAGACGATCTTGTTAAACCAACCATGCTCACGACTATCAAGAAACAGTTATAGATAACAATACTTACGGCACCCGGTTTCGCAACAGAACCGAAAAATGATCACCAGTGAGGCGCGGTTTCCAACGAATCTCAGATCCGCTACTCATGAATCACGGCTCTATTTAAAATGAGCTACCGGTACTAATATGTTGCCATTAAATACCCAACCTTGGTAGTATCATAGCATATTCGCCTGCATCGTTGGAGCGCCACGGTCGCTGCTGCTATCAGCACCACTGTCTGAGTCCTGCACTGCTTCGTCATCTTTGTCGGAGCTGGAGTCGTCAGACTCCTTCGGCAGCTCAACCGCCCTCGGCAACTGAATCGTCTCACTGACTCTTCTGTTAGTATAACCGAAAATATACCCCATTAAAGTGGCGCACCTTCGAGATTCTAAACGAGCTGTCGGCGATCATGAAAGTGAAAGCAAATCGGATAAACTGAATGCTAGCGGTGTTCAGCCTCTCTATATGTTGGAAGGCAGATTAAACGAGTCAATTTTAGCAAGGTACATGTACTACGTAGTATAAAGTTTTCTGGAGCTCACACCCCAGTTGCCATTGCTGTATGGACTCCCCTGGCTTCCTCTTTATCTCTTAGTGTGATTGACGTAGCGCAGGGCTACAAGAGCAACCACCCGTAGTAAGACGATCCACGCCACGCGTATCCACAGTTGGTCCATATCTCGCTGTGCTTGATCAAGAACAAGCTATCCATGTACTCTTCCACCGTTGTGCCGTCCGGAAGAGTTGGTGGCGTTCCGCTCATCACTTGGCAGCCAGGGCCCTCTCCATCGCCATCACAAGCAGCAAACACAATCGCGGTTAGACTTGCGAATGTATACTTGTTGGGGAGGGCGTGATACAGCCAGACGTAGCCGCGCGGTAGTGACGCCGCTGGGGGATTCATACCGGTGAACAGGATGAGCACCGAGTTGAAATTTAGTGCGTACACGGACGCCACGTCCATACTGGGCAGTAGATAGATCAACACTTGGCCAAAGTAGCTTTGCAGCAACACTAGCAGTGACAGGCAGAACCAAAAGGCGAAAAAGCTTCCCACCCCTGTGAACCCCACCATGGGGAAGAAGATGACGAGGAAGATCAGCGTAGTGAAGAAGCAGTAGGGGATCTCGACGACCGTGGAGCCAACGAAGTACCAGAAGGCGTTGTACGTCTGACCTGCCCGTTCGCAATAGAAGACAACGCGTTCCTGCTACGTGACGGGGAGAACGCCAGTACACGTGATGAAGGTGATGTAGGAGGCTGCCATGAAGATCATGCCCATCCCGGAATTGATACCCTGGTCCGAGCTGTACTCCGCTCCGACGTAAGTGATACCGAAGACGAGACCCAGGATGATCGAGATGATGAATCGTGTAAATTGTACGACGCCGTCCGCCAGTACGAATCGAAGAACCGCTTGGTCAGGAACGTCGCCTGCGTCATGCTACTGGCAGCACGTTTACGGTCAAACGAAAGAGCTGCAAGGGAAGGCGAGGGCCGCGTCACACCTTCCCGATCCAAGTTGAGTTGCAGCTGGCGGTTCTTTTCGCTGTCCTTGAAGAGCGCAACAAAGTCCGTCGTATCCGCGTTTGCGTTGCCAACTCCTGCCCCAATGACCTCGAGCATCCACGTGGCTGGGTTATAATCCGGTTCAAGGCTAGCCACTCCTTCGATCGCCTCAAAGTAGTTGACCAGCTCGGAAGCTCTCGAGCCGAGCTCACCGAAATACACCATCTCTCCTCCTCGCTTTAGTAGCAATAAGCTGTCAAAGACTTGGAAGACAATGGCAGACGGCTGGTGAATGGTACACACGATGGTCCGTCCAGTGTCAGCCACTTTACGGACGCCGTCCATGATGAGCTTGGCGGATCTGGCGTCCAGACCACTCGTCGGCTCGTCCAGGAACAGCACACTGGGCTGCGCTGCCAGCTCCACGCCAATAGTCAAGCGCTTCATCTGCTCCATGGAGCTGCCACGAATCACCTGGTCCGCGATGGGGTTCAAGTCCAGTAGCTCCAGACACTCGTTCACCGAGTCGTATTTCTGACTATCAGCAATGTCCGCGCCTTGACGAAGGAAGGCGCTAAAAGTCAGGGCTTCACGGAAGGTAGACGCGTCCGAGTGGATGTCCATCTGCTCACAGTAGCCCGTCGATCGCCGGAAAGCAAGCTCAATGGCTGGGTGGCCATTTAGAAGGATCTCTCCACGGATCTTCCCTCCCGTCTTCGACCCGCGATCACGTCCATGAGCCTGCACCGGATGACCCCATTAGAGCAGTCACGGAACCTGGTAAGGCGAACCCACTAACGCCCTTGAGCAAGTCGATGTCCTCCTTGAGGTTAGCAGGATTCGGGACCGAATACCACAAATCCTTGAACGCAAGCGTCACGGGCACGAAATTCTTCTAGTGTTCGGGTGGAGATACAGCGATAGCCGCTTTACTTGCCTCATTACTGCTGCCTCCCTTCGGAGTCTTCATTAGCCCATAGTCGCCCTCTGCTGTGATGGCCTCGTCACTGATGACAGTGCTCTCTCCACTCGCAGTGGTGTTTCCCGAGTCTATGAAACGCCAGAACTCCAGCACTAAGCACGACAGAATCATCATGAGAAAGTAGAGCGTGCCAGGAACACGAGGCCATACCAGAGCCAGTTCTTTTCGGTCGGCACGCCGTACACACTCAGCAGATACTCTCCAGCTTGCATGCCGTATCGCGAGCAATAGTTAACACCTTCATACACACAAGTGAGGAATCGCGGGTCGTTGTACTGACTCACTGCAATCGCTCGAACGCCCCAAGCCTGCGGACTGAGCCAGTAGACCCAAATCATGTAGTGGCATCATGTCCTTAGTGACAACGTAGCCCGAGAAGGTGACGAAGAAGAGGAGCATGAGCATCGTAACGGGTAGCGCCACATTGAGGTTGGGCGTCACACACGCGATGAAAAAGAAGAGCGGCAGCCACCATACTCACGTAGAACAGCACGAGCTCGAACAAGAAGTAGCCGGCCGCAGTCGGGACAAACCCGCACATCCAGTACATGAAGGAACCGAAGACAAGCGCCTCCATGAGACCAACGGGGGTGTAGCTCACGAACCTGGCGATCACGTACGAGGACACGCGGAAGAAGTTGGCTCCACGCTGTTTGTACAGTACGTCTCGCATGCCCATGGCCACTGGGATGAGCGACATGTGATTCGTCGCCACGAAGTTGATGGTCACGAAGGCGATGCCCATAACCACTTGCGAGTTCACATCGTCGAACTGGTAGAACGTGCTCCCGTGTAAGAGACCAAGCAGAACGGCCAGGTAGAAGCGACTCTGCCACGCGTTGGTGTCTCGCATCGTCACCGTCATCTCTCGTTTGATCAACGTTCATGTGCCCTCCACAAAGTTCTGTTGAAACCTTGGAAGAGGCGAGAGATGGAGCGAGCTGTCACGATCAAGATGCGGGTCGACTGGCGCCATGACGTTGGCGAGCAAGTGGTGGTGGGTGCTGGACCGCTCGAAGGCCTCTCGGAACTGCGCTGCAGTTGACGGCGCCGATCCGACTTCATACTGGTGCTGTTTGTTGGTACTTAGATCCAGCAAAAAGTCCGCCACGTCGCGGTTAGGAGGGCACTTGAACCCCAAGCTCTCAAAGTAGTCCAGAGCCTGCTCACGCGGACCGTGATACATGACGTAGCCATCGTTCAGCAGCATCACGTCGTCGAACAAGGCGAACACCTCGGGGGACGGTTGCAGTAGAGAGATGACGACAGTCCGTCGTAACTTCTTGGCCATACTACGGAATGTCGAGACAATGTCCAGCGTCGCCGCACTGTCGAGTCCGGTGCTGATTTCATCCATTAACATGACGTAGTTGTTGCCAAATGCCATCTCCCCCGTGGTCACACGCTTGCGTTCCCCTCCAGAAACGCCTCGCAGCATGGCGTCCCCCACGATCGTGTTCTGGCAGTTCTCGAGTCCCAATTGGCGAATTGTCACGTCCGGATAGTGCTTACGTAAAGCTCGAGCTGCATCCACGGCGGCTTTATTCTCTTCGTCCGACCCAAGCACAAATTGCTGCTCATCGGTCTTGGACAGCTCGGCACCGCTACAGGCGTGTGCGAACCCCAGTGTCTCCTTCACACTCAGAGTGGGCAGATGATTGTCGTGCTGAGGCACGTACGAGACGAACTGAGAGAGGCGTTTACGAACCGATTCTTGAGATATGCCGTTGTAGGTCACCTCTCCTTCCACTTTAGCGCTCTTGGACACCGGAAAGCGACCACTTAGCAGCTTCATCAACGACGACTTGCCAGAGCCAGGCTGCCCCAGCACTAGAGTCATCGTACTTGGCTTCAAGACGCCGCTAACAGGCCGAAGGATCTGCTTCTCCACCATATTTTTCTTCGCGAACATTTTTTGAAGCCCCGTCTTGGTCACATTAAACAGCGTTGGGAGCTCCGACTTGCTGGTCGTATCGTCTTGAAGAATAACTCGCGCAGAGAGGGAAAGGTTCTTGAATCTCACTTCCACTTGGGGAAGCTGTTTGCCAAGTGATCGCTCCAACCGACTGGCCACGTGGTCGTGAAGAGCTGATGACCCACGGGCCATGAGCTTTGCTCCGCTGTCGTAGCCGATCTCACCCAGCTTCTCTTTCGTCATGTCCACAGCGCCGTGAGTCAAAGTGATGTCTTTACCGGTCTGGGGGTTAAACTCACTCGAGAGAGCAAAACGAAAAGTGAGTTACAGACAAACGTTTAAAGTACATCTTTGGACGGCCTATAATCATTTCGAGCGCATCAACAGACAGCTGGCATTTGAGATCTGGCCCGCAATACGAAACGATTACGCGCCTATTATATGATTCAAACAACAAACTCATGACCAATTTGCTGCAGTTTTTTCTGGCAGCAATCTATGACATAATACATGCATACAGTATGGAAACGGCGACTTGATACTGAAATCAAATCAAATTTGGGGCCGATCGGATATAAGGCTGGAGAGGTTTTTGCTGCACTCACAAAGCCAGTACGAGGGAAAGGGTTCAAGTGCACCTTTCCAACTGTCAGGCATGATCATCATTTGATGAGTGGCCAGAAGTCTTCGGGCAGTCTCAGCCATTCGAGATTTTGCCGGTTGAGACGTAAGCAAAATGCCGGTCTCTGTGAGCGCCAGGACCAAAGCTGAGGCTCAAGCGTCGGTGTCAGCGCCCGCCCTGGATCCGCGCCTGGTAGACTTCGGCCACCTGTGGCGCCAGCTCAAGGCCGCGGGGTGGCGGTCGAAGCCTCCCACCGGACTGTCAAACGATTGGGCGTACGTCAGGCCGTCAAGCGAGGTTCCTGCAGAAGGCGGGTTTGTGTTCTACGGTATGTTGTGCTGTTGCAGTATTACTATCCGTCATTTCTAACTTGGTTTGTGGTAGGTGAGAGAGCGGTGGTGGAGCACGCGATTGCAACCGGACTGATTCAGAATGAAGAGGACAACAGCAGTGGCGAGGAGAGTGGAGATGGCGGTGAGGGCAAGAGCTATGGGGGCGGTGAAGCTGAGAGCGGTGGCGGCGGTGAAGCTGAGAGCGGTGGCGGCGGTGAAGCTGAGAGCGGTGGCGGCGGTGAAGCTGTGAGCGGTGGGGGTGGTGAAGCGGAGAGCGGTGGGGGCGACAGCGGTGATGGAGATATGGTGCGAGCGTCGCAATTTGATTGCAATGTGGCCCTTTCGGCCAACACAGTCGACGCGCTGTTTGGAAGTGACAGCGAGGACGATGGCACACCTGCGTTGTCGCAGAACGCGGTTGGGAGAGCTTTCGGGCTATCCCCGCAACGTGCTGACGCGGTGCATGACTCAGACCAGAGTGTCGTGATCGGAGCTTTTCAGCGGCTGCTCTCGGAGACGGAGCCCGACCATGACTCTGAGGACGACACGGTGGAGGAGCCGAGAGACGCCAGCGAGGGTGACGACGTTGGAGGACCAGTTGTACCACGCGATCCAGCTGATGTAAGCTTGATGAAGGCTGGAGATCTTAGAGAGGAGTACGAGAGTCTGAGTTCAGGCTCCGACTACGGCCAGTTTTCTGACGACGACGACGTGAAGCCTGTCCGTCCTGATCCAGACGAGAACGAGGTATCGGACGACGAGGAGTCGTTTCACATGGATGCCGCTTTCATTGAGGCCCTGGGTGGCACCTTGTCCATCGAGCAGATGGACCAGGAAGCGCTGCATAACTTTGCCTGGAGCGCGCCTTCGACAGTTTTTGCGGACGATGTGTCCTACTTTCGCGGATTGGTGCAGGAGACCGCCCATCCAACACCAGAACTTTGCTCGAAGAAAGAATCACCTCTTGAATTGCTGTTCTATTTCCTACCGAAGAGCATGTGGATGCGGATCATCAAAGAGACGAACCGGATGAAAAGGTAGACGGTGGACCATCGAGCGCGTTATGAACGATCGCGGATGTCCAGAACGGAGAACATGCGTACACTTCGTGAACTTCGACGCCGTATTCGTCGGGAGAACGACTACTCACCGCGCGAGATCTTGTGCGTTATTGGGCTTCTCGTGGCTCATATATTGAGCCCCACCCGACGCTTTTCGCAGCACTGGGCAATGACTGGCGATGGTGCTTTGAGTGCAGGTGCGTTCGGCAAGTACATGAGCCGGAACCGCTGCACGTCGATCCTGCGCGATCTACACTTCGCGAACAATGACAATCCGAACCGTCAAGACAAGCTGTGGAAGATCCGTGACGTTGTAGATGTACTGCAGGAATGGTTCCTGAGCGCGTGGAAGACGCCGAACATCATCTCGTTTGACGAAGGCGTCTTGCCGGCGACATCCAGACGCAACACGACCAGGATGTTCATGCCAGACAAGCCTCACCGCTACGGGACCAAGATGTTTATGACATGCGACTCGTTGACTGCGTACTGCCACCGGTAAGCGACGAATGGTTTTTTTGGTCGATTTGCTAGGTCGTAAGTTATGACTTTATGATTTTGACCGTGCTCTCAATGTCGTATCTTTCAGGTTTGAGATCTACGTCGGAAAACGCCAAGCCAGCGAGTCTGCTGCGCAGGTATTTGACCGGAAAGACGGGTGCTGCGGCAGTCATCCGCAACCTGAGCCCTGTTCTAGTTGGGCATCGTGGCTTCCGGGTTGTGGTCATCGACCGCTTCTATTCGTCCGTAGCTCTCGCCATCCAGCTTCTCTCTATGTCAATCTACGTGATCGGTACGATCATGACGAACCGCCTGGGCTTCAACCGCGACGTCGTAGCGGAGCATAAGACGCGACCAAGGCGCATCGAGCGTGGATCCTTCAAGTTCGCAAGATCGACGGCAGTGCCGACCATGGTTTTGTGCCTCTGGTGGGACCGGAAGCCGGTCCACTACATCGCGACCGGTGTGTCCATGGCAGAGGACAGGATCCAGCGGAACCTGAAGGGGCTCGGGACTTCGATGTTCAAGTGCCCGAGGCTGGTGACGGATTACCAGCGCTGGATGGGAGGAGTCGACATGCATGACCAGCTCCGCCTTGAGTCCTCCTCCATCTATGTCTCCTTCAGGTTCCGAAAGTATTACAAGAGTCTTTTCCTCGGTCTACTGGACCTGGCGCTCGTCAACGCGTACCTCACGCATAAAGAGGCCAGCCGCCTCGCCGGCGAGACGCTCATGAAGCGATACGAGTGGTTGAGCATGCTGCACAAGCAGTTGCTACAGCTCAAGGACGAAGACTTCATGGCAGCCCCCACTCCGTCGCCAGCAGCACGCAAGCGACGGCGCCCCGCATTCTCCGGGCACACGCTCGTGCAGTTCAACGACCGGGTGACTGTGAGGGGCGGCATCCAGAAGAGGCGTCAGCGGTCGTGCAAGGTGTGCTCGCTGTATCGAGGCGAGCTCAAAAAGTCGTTCCAGACGACCTACTACTGCCCGGACTGCTCCAACGGCGACGCCAAGTTCTACCTGTGTGGCAAGGCGCGCAGAGGTGGCGACAAGACTTGCTTCCGAGTGTGGCACGAGGACTTCGCGTGCGGTGACAGGATCCCTACGCACGTAGGGAAGCGTGTCGGGCTGCGGCGCGCTCCCAAGGCCGTAGGTGGCCGCAAGAAAACTCGGCGGGAGATTCTTCGCGAAGACAACGGGAGTGCTGATGATGAGGCTGAATCGTGAATCCGAAGGAGTGCCAGCCGATGTGTGTTCATGGCTTCATAAATTTGACGTCATTTATCATGTGCGCTGTGTCTGTTCAACTTTTATCATGTCAGTCATCGAAAACGCCAGCTCGATGTGTGCAATCGCTTGCGTTTTCCCGCATAACATTTTCTGTTCAGTCTTATAAAGGCGTAAGTATCGGTGTCCATGGATAATCCTTATGTCGTATGATATACGACATACCGTGTCAAAACCTTTGAGAATGTATACCTCTCATCCTGTTGGAAAGGCGTGAGAAGATACAGCACCATACAAACGCGCCGGCAAAAGCTATGCCGTAAGTTATGACGTAAAATTAGTGGTTCACGGGCTCATTTGGCGGTAACAGGGGGGTTAAACTTTTAATCCGGTCGGTGGAAATTGTCCCAATAATAAAATCGTACCTCCGTTTTGTAATCTGAATGAAGAAGGGCGGTTCAATGAAGGACAAAATTGTTAAAATAATCTCCGTATGTAAAGATCCCAGCCCCCTTTTAAGCAACTCGTTACGTCAATAATGACATCACGGACCTCTTCCGCCTCTATGCCTTGTCATGACGGGCCTCTTCCGTCTATGATCGGCACATAACGCGCAATGACAAGTCCCACCAAAGCCCCGGAACGACCGTGGGGTTCCACATACTACTAACTTCGAAAGTAAAGCAAGTAAATGCGTTTGCTACACATATTCTCGCGTTGTCTTCCGGGCAGAGAATTTATAATTTGAGGCTACGAGAAGAGCAAGTTTTACACCTATGTCAAACCGAAAGACTGCACGAAAAACAAAACACTACACAGCACGTTGCCCTTATCTAAAGCAACCGAATCTAACCGATCCACCCGCGCCAACGCATGTGAGTAGATGGTAGTGCTCTAGTCGTTCGACGGAATGATGCGGTTGTTGATGTCCGTCCTAGCGTCATTCGTCATTTTCTTTCAGCTGTCGTACGTACGAGGAGCCCCAGTCAAATGAGCCCGCCTGCAAGGCAGGTCCACCACCTTCATGTGGTCATCTTGGTGAATGTTAATGTAGCCGTCTTCAGACGCGGAGATGGCACAGCCAAAAATACGCAGCCTACATCATACTGTCCAAGGCAATGCGGTCAGAGCGTCCCACACACGTCGGCACCGGACCTTCCGCGCTGGGCGCGACTGCTTCGTCGCCCACAACCCCTTCACTGGGCTTACCGCAGTGGAAGGTGCCAGCCTTGACGTCTCTCGTTCCGAGCATCACGAAGCTCTTGCTGGCTACCTTGGTATATCATATCATTCAACTAAGCCCCCTTCGTATTTTTAAATATCGATTTCCAACGAATTCGCATAGGGGCAAATATTGAAGTACACCTGGGCGAGGCGTGGCGGGTTAGCTGCGAGAAGAATTCGAAAGTGAACTAAAATCTAGCGCGCTCCTCGAGCTCCTATCTATGCTGTCTATAGGCTAGCTGCGACATCGGGAAAATACGCTTTCGTCCTCAACTTCGCACCATTCGTGTTGCCGTTGTCTCCGCAACCCACAATTTCCAATGCATTCGCATAGAGGCAAATGTTGAAGTGCATTTTGCCACACCTGGGCGAGGCGTGGCAGCTGTCCCCTCTTGAGATTACCGCAAGACACGCCGGTGAAGTGGCCTTCTCTGCTGCCGTATTTTGCTAGCCCATGTACCGCGAGAGCTCAGCTGATCCTTTGGCCGACAGAATTGAGTATTCTTCAAACGCATTAGACAGCCACCGGCTCATGATCTTGATGACGAGTCTATCAGCCCCCGCGTTTAGTAGAGCTGTAGCACCACCTATTCTAACCGAGTGAGTAGAGAATCGTGCTGGATCATATCTCGCCTTTGCTGCCGCAATCTTTATGGTCGTTGCTATCCGAAGACGTTATTCCACCACTGCTCATCGATAGAGCTGGTTCAGAACCTCTAGTGCCGAAGACTTCGGTAGCTTTATGAACCCATCTCACCGCTCGAACCGGGCAGAGTAATCGATCATTTGACTTACTGTGATATCTAGCTTCCTCGCGACCAAATTGATTGATCTTGGCTCCGTTAAAAGTAATACCGACTTCCTTGGCCTGTTTTCGTGCTAATAATTCTTCGTGCTCGTCGAAAACGGTATACCAGATAGTCGGAGAATGTAGCTGTGAACTTGTCGGCCAATAAACAAATATTCCGAGCGCCTCAACATGAAGAAGTAGCCTACAAGAAGACCACCCCATAGTAGTTGATGTCTGGGCTGTCTAAGGTCTAGATCTTCGAAGGTGAGACGAAACAGACGAGTTGATAGTGGTTGCTGTTTCACGACACGATTGGTGAAGCGCCAAATCCCCCGAAGCAAGATCGTGTGACTAGAACTCACACCTGGGTCAAATCCCGCAGTGTCGCGATGAAACAGCGCACCGCACATAATTTAGAGCAGATTATTGAGTAAGTATTTCCTTTTTGTGCTTGATTCATCCCTAACTGCCACAGGTAGACTGCGAAAGCGCCCAGTTGCTCTGGATTCTTGTCAACCGAGTCCTTACTCAACCACGGATTGACCTGCATCATAGTGCACCAAGCTGTCCATTGGGGGCACGCTCTCGTGTAATGGTTCCGGGAGGACTGGGCAAGTGCCCCAATGCGGAGTAACGCTCCCAAAGAAGCAAGAGATCACTTGAGTCTGGAGAGATCTGAACCTGCTTTCAACCATACGACATGTTAGAAACCGTTTTCGCTAATAATGGCGACTGCCACACTCTGCTGCCTGCGTCCGCCATTTCGTTCTCCACTCCAGCAACATGTTTCGCTGTTGAGTAAAACCCATGTTCGACCTCACATAAGCTTTGTGCACGGAGTAGTAATTGGGCAAAGGGGTTACGGCTTGTCCTGCGATTGTTCCAAGCCACGGCCGCTGTGTTATTAATCATTAACCGAGCATGAGAGTCGCTGTCTTTACGCGCACCGCTCCAGACATGACCCCATGCTATTAAAGCAAAAACAACACATTTATAAGCTCACGAACGTTGATCCCAAACTCCCCATCACCGGATCTGTGGAAGTTGGCGATGAGTTGGAGCTCCAGCTCAATTCGTCTAATCGCGTCAAAGTATGATGGTGCTTATCATTATCGTTTTCGTCTCAATATCCTTTTGGATATCGCCCTGAGGCTGCCACGATAAGCTTGCAACGCCCTCCGCTAAATAAGGCCTCTCTAATATATTTCGTGGTCACGTCACCGTTATTCTCAACGGCACCATCTGAAGACGCTCCGAGTTGTACGTCCAACAGTATCAAATAAGGCCACTCAGAAACGCTCGATAGCAGCTAACGATAGCAACTGCAAGTGGAGATAGCCTATTCTGATTCATGAGGTTTTGAGGTTTTACCACCTAAGTTTTAGAAAAACCTCAAATGCCTCGAAATGCCAAATTGGTGGATGACTTGTTTTTCACGAAGTAGCTATTGTCAATTGAGCTGCTAAAATCAGGCAGATTATTTTAAATAACTATTTTGAGCGAAATCACGTTTTTTAAATCGAAGACGGCCTAAATTCGTTGAGCCTTCGGGAGGATGGATCGTGCGATTTTAGACACACGCCTGCAAAATTAAGGTATTGTGCGTTCTACTCCAAATTTCCGCGCGCTGTTCTTTTTTTGAACGTGCACGCAGTAGCACGTATGTGTTATTGACTTGCTTTTAGTTTGAGGTCACTTAAGTACGATACGCGACCTCTTAAGTACGATCGGGGCCGTTTCAAAACCCGACAGGAAATTTGTAAGCGAGTCACTCATTGAATACAGCCAGAACGGAAAATTTGGTCGGAACTCACAAAACATGAACATATATACGATGCATGACCATTTGGACCTCACGACGAAATAGGGTGAGCGGTGTACTGTATTTTATTCAATTGTGTAACGGGGTACGTAGCCCTAAGTATACCCTTACTTACATGAAGTGTAACACTCCACACATCGGGATATCTGGTACATGGTACCTGGGTCGTCCGAGGCCAACCATTGGCTGATTGCATTGCTTTTCTATAGGTGACTTATAGTTTGTATATTTAACTCAAGCTTAGCCTACCCATAAATACATTCAGCTTACAACTTACCTTAAATTTGGTCACTTCGCTCCCTTAGGCAAAAGGGACCTGTAAACCCGTTCAATGAGAGTTTGTATACTCTCGGAAGCCAACTTCCTCTAGCGCAAGGTGCTGTGTGACCCCGTCACACTTGATAGAGCTTGTAGTCAATTCACGCCAACGCAGGTAGACTACGTAAATCTCTCTGAAACTCGTCACCATGGATAGGAACGACTTCCCCCATCTGAACGACTCACAGTTCGAGTCGGTTCGGAAGATGACTGGCATCTTCGGGATGGAGGCCCTGCAGAGGCTGGTGGCGTCAACGCCGGCCGAGCAACTCGAGCGTGTCAATGCGTTTGACGCTTACGAGCAGGGGCTCATCGCACATGTGCGGGAAAACCTGCAGTCTCCGGTGGCGGAAACAAGTCCGTCACACCCGAAGTCAATACGGCTCAAAGTGAAGCCGTATGAAGGGAAGGAAGGTGAGAACCTTCACTTCTGGGCTCTAGAAGTAGAGCTCGCGATGGACGTGGCTCCGATCTCGACCGAGCATCTCCGCGTTGCTTTTGCGCTCTTCAACCTTTAGCGGTAGTGCTAAGAGTTATGTGTACACGCGGGAGGCGACATCGCCTGGGTGTTCTACATCCTGGGCTCAGCTGTGCGATCAGCTCCGAGCTGCGTTCCTCCCGGCGAACTACGAGTACCGGCAGCGTTTGCGCTTCCTCTCATGCAAGCAAGGAAGGCGCGAGCTGTATGAGTACGTCCAAGAGATACGGGAGCTCACGGCGTTCCTAGTGGGAAACCCACTCAACGAACACGTCAAGATGACTGTCTTCATGGACGGCCTTCGAGTGGACCCGGCGCGCACTCAGCTGTACCGGGTGCAGTCAAACACCCTCGAAGAGGCATTCAAGTGGCTCTTCAAGAAAAGTACAGCCATCGCCAGGCTCGCACGCTGGCCTCAGCATCTTTTTGTTTAGGGGGGGGGATTCTCTGTCAAATCCCGGTCGAGCAAATCCCACTGGGGAAGAACTAAGTCTGCGTTAAGGGGCCAGACTACGAGTTGGCCCACATTACACGGGTGACAACGGATCTATATGATCGGATACGCATGGCGTATCGGGACGATGAGGCTGTCGCGCCTATCGTCAGGTTCCTCACGGCAGGAACGAGCGCGAAGTCCGACTGGCTTTCGTCGCGACAGCGCTCCCGGCCCCACCGATATGAGTTGAAGGATGGCCTCCTCTATTACCGGGTAGAGCTTAACGAACCTCCACGGGTGGACGTGCCCAACGACGAGGATCTGAAGTTCGACATCCTCGCGGAGGCGCACGACGCGTCCTCTAGCGGCTACGCGGTCGCGGTCACGAGAAGACCTTCCTGTCAGTCTCTCAGGCCTTCTGGTGGACCCACATGTAATAGTGGGTCGCACAGTAAGCGAAGACATTTGAAACATTTCAGCGGGTTAAACCCGCATGGCACCCTTCGGGTCCACTACAAAGCCTGCCCGTTCCGGCTGACTGCTGGAAGTCGATGACTCTTGAAATTCATCTTTGGGCTTCTCGCCGATAGCCACGGCAACACCGGAATTTTGATGTCCGTAAGTCGGCTGAGCAAGATGGTACATCTTGCTCCTGTACCCGTTACCGTCACAGGCGAGCAAACCGCCAGGTTGCTCGTCGATGGCGTATTTCACTATCACGGGCTTCCGGAGACGACTCTATCGGACCGAGACCCGCAGTTCACGGCCGCGTTTTTGGAAACGATGTTTCTTTCCTGGGAACTCGTCTGCTGATGTCCACTACGGACCATCCACAGACAGAAGGCCAGAAGGAGCGCGTCAATAGAGCGCTCAAGGACACTATGCACAGTGTGTGCGCAGAAGCCCCACGTACGTGGTCGACGCAGCTTCCAGCTGTTGTGTTTGCGCTCTAACAACGCGGTGCACGCGTCCACAGGGTTCACGCTGCTATACTTGAATAGCTTCCGTCACCCCAGCGGGCCTCTCACACTTCGAGGAAACACTGCATCCTCTATGCTAAGTGGAGGAGAGGCTCGGAAAGCTCTTATCTCCCAGGTCTTAGATGTGAAGCCGATTTCGCTGCGGAAACAAGTGGGATCCTTTCTGGATACCAAGCTGAGCTTGATCAACAGGGTCCACGATGCCATGGCAGCGGCCCAAGGCAGACAAAACGAGTACTCTGACAAACATGATCGAGGAAACTTAAATGTGGTCAAGGTGGGTGAATAAGTGTTATTAGACACGAGAAACCTACCATGAGAAACCGTAAACTCTCTCGGCAGCAACAAGCTGAAGCACCGCTTCATTGGACCATTCCCAGCCTGGCGAGGCATGGTGCGTCATACACTATCGACCTGCCTAAGTCAATGACAGCGCACCCGACGTTCTACGTTGGACGTCTTGCGGTACTATGATCCACAGGGGGTTGCTGACTTGCAGATCCACTTTGGACCAACTCCTCGAAGCGAGGGCCGGCCACAGACGTCGCCGAGGGCGTCGGAGCTGGCACCCAAGCCTTGGGCTGAACAGCAAGGCTACGGTCAAGACCGTACGACGGAGAAGCACCGTACGAACGGACCCTAGAGCCATACGCCGAGTGCGTCGGGTACGCACCATATGTGTACGGCTGGAAGTGCGCCGAATGCGGCTCTGGACGTGGCAGCAGAGCCTCGATACGTCGGATCATGCGGAAAACCTCGTCAAGATTGGACGAAGAGGCCCGCCGGTACACCCTCAGATGCAGGCCCGAGACCTCCCGCTTCAACAGGTCGAGGCGACCCGCAAGACGAGCGAGCTTGCCCTGATTCCCGGCCTGGGCGGCAGCATCCCTGCCAGTCCCAAGGCCAAGTGCAATCTCTAGCACGAGGACGCGTTGACGAAGGCGGTCAACCTCAGGGCCCTG